GAGCTAAACCTCTCTCTGTAGCTGTGAGGTGTCATGCTACAATAATGTGCTTGACACATGTGCACTGATATACAGAACTTGTAAGATTTACTTGAAAAAATCCTCATAACAATTTGCACTTACTTTTGTTAAAATTTAAATGCTACAAATTCAAGTAATATTTACTCATCATTTTCTAGTAAAATTAGTAAGAATATAGCTAAAGATTTGTGAATAAATCAGGTGAATTTTACTTAATTTGATCAAGTATATGTTACAAGATTTAATTGAGTTAATATTACATGAATTTGTAGCATTTAAATTTACTTAAATGTTAGTGCAAATTCTTACGAGGATTTTTCAAGTAAATCTTACAAGTTATTTTTTTTCAGTGGGGTCTCCTGAAAACCTTCTTTAAAACTGTGGTGTCAACCACTGAGTGATCAGGTAGGGTAGCTCTGTCCTGAGATGGATTATTACAACAAAGTGCTGGTGGTGAGAGACAGGAGGATGCCAGCTGTCTTGGGAAAATAAATTATCCTTTAAAGTCTTGCATTTCTTCTCAGGCCAAGTGTCAGTGACCTCTTTTGCTGTACTGTGCAATGTCATCATGTTTTATGATTTTACTCGTTATCTTCTGTTTACTCTCGSACAAAGTGTTTTCAGTTTATGAATMGTYGTTCTCTCCTTGGCACAGTTTGTTTTGATAGCATGCGGTATAAATAAGTGCGTTTGAGGCTGCCTCATTTGTACACATTTTGTACTATTGCCCAGTGTGACATGGTGTGTGCCTTGCAATTGCAAATAAATCTTGCTGACCATTCATGAAGTACTTTTTGTTCTTGTATCTTGTGTCTCTGCCTAGGTAAAATAAAAATTTCCACAACACTAGCCAAGCTATCACTGGTGGTGGGCAAGTCTCTCACCCCATGCTTGACACCATAACTGTACCTAAAATATGTTTCCTTGAGAGGTTGCTACCCAGACGCATCAAAAAAGTAGCTAATTTCCCTATAAAGTAAAGCCTTTACCAAAAATGTATGGACCAACAAGAAATAATACAAGTTCAAAAATTATTTACGTACACATTGTTTGTGTTGATCAGAGGAATTAGACTAGATGAAAGCATTGCATTTTGCATTACAACAATCAAATCAAATAGGCCGTCATTGTGTTTAAAATAAAAAAAAATGAAAATAGTAGAAAAAAGTCATAAAGATTAATGCTTTTTATCCCAAAGTCAGTGGTTCAAAGGGGAAAAAAATTGTTGAGAGTTAAACAGAAGAACACCAAGATGAACCATGGTGTTTGTACCACATGAAAGAGACACTTTCACTATTGTTACATTTTTTTTACACGGGTCCTCTGTTTCAACTGTTCTCTTTTAGATCATGACTTCTGTAAACTCTTACATGCAAAAGTGTATTTTAAATGTGTTTTATACACATCACCATTCCTTCTTTAGGAAAAAAAAATGCAGGAAAGACAAAACAAATCAAATAATTGTTCTTTTGGTTTTGCTGAGGACAATGTTCACAATACTGTTCATTAGAATGGTCGGTTTTAAATCAGGAATACGTGCCAGGACAGAGCACTTCTATCAGGATGAAATGTAATTCTCTGATGGATGCTCCACAGGAGAGTGGAGGGAAGGCGTGTGCTGAATGATGATGTCCTGTTTAGGAACTTAGAAGCTCACATCCCAACTAAAGCTCCCTTGTAATTGGAGAGTGAGGTCTAAAGCCTCCTTTCCACTGAATGAGGCCGCCAACATGAATGGAGACCGTCAACCGTGTCTACATGGACCAGTGAAACATCAGTCATTCTGACTGAAGCTTCTTTTAATACAGTTTCACACTTTTGCCATATTGTTTCATCATATTGTTTACATACCACAGCCAACCTACAGTGAAAAAAAATGCTGCAAATTGGTTTCAGAGAGACTATTTCAACTCATTCCCAGAAGCACAACGAATAATAAAGAAGATAATAATCCATAACAATAAAAAAGATTATACTTACTCATTAAACTTTATTTGCTCCCTGAAATA